TTGGCCAGTTTTTTTTAATACATCAAAAGCGTATGAGGCGGTCATTTATGTGTGTGTTTTTAGATATTTCAGCTCATGAATAGCTAAAACTAAAAACATGAAATTATGGGAAATGTTACTATTAACACTATATAAGGCTACAAACTGAAGAAAAAAAAAGCCTCCGGCCTGTCCGCTTTTCGATCTGCAGCTTTAGATATAAATTATTTTTTTGGCTGTCCAGTTACTAAGGAAATTTTTCTCAAATAACGAGTTTGTTAAACGTGAAAATTATGCAAAATGATGTTATTTGATGCTGCAGCATTGTGAAAAGTGGAGATGTAAATTTGAGCAAACAGAACCGTAACAGAGGAACGTGTGAACAAGGATTTCGCTAGGAAACTGAATGAAAAATCTTCAGAAAGTTTTTGGAAAAACCCCTCTTCTTTCAGGTACGGTCCCATGGTTCCAATGCTATGTTTCGTACTGGATAATTGGCTTGAGGAAGAAAAAGTGTATGAACGATCGGCGTTGCAGCGAGTGCATATCGTAATTTTACTTTTGCAGTTTTCAGTTGGGATTTTGCATGGAAAGCATTCATCGAATGAGCTGTATAAGCAGCCCATTTATTTCGAAAAGGTATTATTTTGTATTTGTCTGACAATTTCGCGCATTAATAGCCGAATCTGTTAGTCTACTTTGTGGAAACCTTAGTTCGTCGCAAAATTTGTAAAATTGGGTTTTTTTTGGGATCAGATAGGCTGCTTTGACTTATTCAAGCCAGTTTCACAAATGATTTCAGCCAGCCTGTTTTTTTGCGTTTTTTGCATCTATGTAATGCAAAAATGCATATTTCCGAAAAGTTGCCTACGTGTGTGTTCGTCTGTACCGATTTTTCATCTTGAGATCTATAAAAGCTACAAAGCTAAGACTGGGAATTTAATCTGCATGCATGTATGGGCTCCTGTCCCCAAAATGTACGTTGTTGCCCACACGGTCCCCACTACATGTTCGTAACATTATGAATCTGTTCCCTGGGAATCTGAGGGACAGATTTCTCGTCCACTCGGAAAAAAACTTGGGGATTTCAAAAGCTAGAAAGTTGGAATTTTAAAGGGATGTTCCTCGTCCACATAGGTCTTAATGAGTTCAATTCTAGCTTCCGGGTATGCATGATTCCCAAGTACGAGCCCGTGAAAATTTTTGGAGCAAGTTGTTAATTCGGGGACTTGAAAAATTAGAAAGCTGGAATTCTAAAGGAATGTCTCCCATCCACTCCGGACTTGACGAGTTCAGAGTCAGTCCCACATGTGCGTGATTCCCACTGCTATGGTCCCCTTTAAAATATTAACTTTCTAGCTTTTCAAATGAAAATTTTTGACGGGTAAGTTGCTAACTCGAAAACTAGAAAAGCCAAAAAACTGAGGCTTTAAGAGGATATTTTCTGACAGTCATGGTGTTCAGTCCCAGTTTTTTTGACTAGAAGCATCTGCCAAGAAAAACAGTGCTGTTGGCGACAAAAATTTGCGGGAAACTATGCAAAAAACGCATCTTCGTGCCGGCAGTCGGTGCGCTGGCCAATTATTCAAAGCTTGTCTAGCTTTTCAATATTATGTGGCGGCAGAATAATATCAAATTCAGAACTGGTGCTGGTTATTATTTAAAACAGCCCCACAGTGCCGGTTGTACAGCAGCTGGAACAGTGATAGGCTTACATTCAGAGTTCTTACTTTTTATTTCGTCTTTTATCCGTGAAGTTGGGAAAGTTCTTCAAAAATTTTAAGACCGGCGACATCTTTTTAATAAAGTAGCATGAAGAATCAATATTTTGGTCAGAATCGATATTTTTATGATTTCAAAGTAAGTGCCTGCCGAACTGCCATCTATAAGACAAATCGTTTTATTTTAGAGGGGAGGGACTACTCACAGTTAGGCTCCTTCTGCCGTTATATTTTTTCATAAACATGGCCCAGACCTGTGCAGGAAGTACCTTTGTTTTACTGTGTCGACATCGTTTTTATGTTATATGGCGCATGAAGGGGTTTTTTTAGGATGTGATATGAATGAACATGGCATTGATGTTGTTTTGGAAGAGGGAGAAGTGAAAGAAATGAGGGAAGAAAATTTCTTGAAAGTAGTAAATCGAGGGAAAAGCGGATAGCGCCTAAACGATTTGCTTTCCAGCTCGGTGTTTCCTCGGAATCACAGCAGGAAGGTGATGCTGTGAATTACAATGCTGGTGATATATTATTTGCATTTTTGCGCTATCTGGCAAGCGAACAATTTGCACATGCGAAATGTATCCATTTTGGCTTGGGTGGTATGTCACGACAGGGCCAACGATCAGTTGCCTCAGTGCTGACACGCTTCGACCAGTGGGCTGCTCTTCATGCCGTAAGTTCTTTTTCAAAACCAAAGCAACAAGTAAATTGATTCCACATGCAACTGGCGCTTTTATCCGGCCGAATTATGCCTTATCTTCAGCCAAAGCACTTAGTCCGTACTCGGAGTGGGAAGTCGGTTTTTACACGTTTCGCTGATTTGTGCAGGTGACACCGGCCAAGTCAAGGGATCGTAGCATCTAGAGCCCTCACGAAAAAGAGAACTATCGGTAGCATTTCCAATCACATAGAAGGCTGTAGCATATAAATGCGAAATGTGATCACCAACTAAAGTTTAAGAACTAACTCTGGCTGTAATCTAAAAAGTTGCGGAGCGAAGGTCTCCTGTTATCATATTGACGATTAGAACTTTCGTCTAAAATGAGGAGCGTGCATGGCTTCGTTGTGATCGTTAGAAAAAGTAAAGTTCGAATATGTTGCTTGCATCGCTGATAACCGTAAGCGATGTGAATTAATGAGCGCTGCCAGCAAGAAAGCCAGCAATTATTCCCGGCGGTATCAGATGCGACGCGCATATGCACTAAGCAAATGTTGG